TGCGACGTTTAATTACGATTAATTCGAATTTCAAAATTATACTGTCGTTATAGTATTTTACATATTTGTAACTCAACGGTAAACCTAAATTTATTCAAAATCAGTCGAAATGACTGGTTCAAAGACGAGTTCAAAGATCCAACGACCTTTAAGCCTTTATTCAGTCGCCATTATTTAACCTAAATTTTCCCCATCAACGATTAGGAAACAGGAGAACGTCGACATTAATATTTTCGAATAACTGCAACACGTTCGTCGAGAAAGGTGTCGTCGCGTTCGCGAACGCTCATGTAACGTCGGCATCGTTGTAAAATTCGACGGGAGAAACGGAGCGGCCAGGAATAATTCTATTTCTCACTGCGGATTAATTGCTAATTCATCCGCGGCGGATATTAAGCCGAGCCGAGTTCCATTTACTGTTTACACCGCGATTCGTTTAGGACCGTCTTAATTAAAATGATTTCCGAGCGGGGGAGGGTGGGGCGGACGGTTCGCCAGCGGACTCACAACGAACGCCACCCAGAACACCACATCCTTTCCGGGCAACTTGTTTAATTTTCGAGTTGCTCGGCTCTTTTCAAGTTCAACACACTCGCGCAGAAAAATATAAACGAACGTCCCCCTTCGCATCCCCCTTAACTTCGTCTCGCGGAACGAAGAAGAGGAAAAGAACGCGGGAGAAGATACGGCTCCCACGCCGTATTTATCGCGTTCCGCTTTCACCTCGGCGATCGTTCTTTTTTCAGGCGCGATCGTGGAACGCACGCGTTCGCGAAACATTGCCCGCCTCGAGCAATGTGCAAAGCCTATTAACCCTTAGCGCTCCGAATGCTCCGCTACGGAAACATTTGTCATTTGTTCCGTAACTCCGAAGGCTCCGCTGCGGAGCCAAATATTTTTAGAAAAAATAATAACAACGAACGAGAGATCATCGTACATAGAAGCTACAGTAATGTCTCCCTTACTGACGCTCAGATTGTCCACTAAAATGGATAATTTAGGAAGAGGAGATACGAATATTCGAGCCTTGCGGCTCGTTTCTATGATTGTGGACAATTTATAACTATAAAAATAAACCGCAAGGTTCTAATAATCGTATCTCTTCTTCCCAAATTGTCCATTTTTGTGCGCAATCTGGGCGTCAATTAGAGAGACATTACTGCATTGGCTATAAAATTGGAAAATTTAATAATATCGAGAGACTCACGTTGTAGACGACTTCTTACCGTGTCCAGAGGAAAGAACGTCGCCATGGCGACCACGCTGCCCTGCAAAACGTTTGTAAGTGGCACTTGCGTCGAAAAGCTCGGCGCAATGCCCGTTAACCTTTGGACGACAGACATTTTTCAGCGTTTTTGACAGCCACGGCTAGATCCGTTCAAATCTGTACGATTCATTTTCACTTGTATATCGTTAAAACCTCTTTGCCGAGAGGCCAAAGATCATCCTTTTATTAGTTTCGATATTAACCCTTAGCGCTCCGTTGGCTCCGCTACGGAGACATTTGTCATTTGTTCCGTAACTCCGAAGGCTCCGCTGCGGAGCCAAATGTTTTTAGCACACGTTATCGTCGGCGTTAGCAATTGTAATCTGTAAATAACGTGCTAAGTCTGTACCATTACGATTAAACCATTTGTTGATCTTTTCCATGGTTAGCAACATGGAGAAAAATAAATATTACGATGAGAATTTAGAGCCGAGCGATACCGAAGACGTATTTGATTTTGAAGAGTTAAAAGACATTGTGGAAGACAATGTTGGTTATGATTCTGACGCTTCGAGTGGTAGTAGCGAAATTATGCTACCAAAGAGACGAAGAATGAGAATTATTGAAAGCGAAAGCGAAGATTCGTTACAAGACTTAGACGAATGGCGTGATGTTATGGAAGAATTACATATTCCAGATAGAATACCTTTTAGTGTATTGCCATAGGTCATTGGACCACAAGTTCCTACAAACATCGAACAGCCGATACAATATTTTAAATTATTTTTCACGGACGATTCGGAAAATGAAATTATAAAGAAAACCAACGATTACGCAGAAAATGTTCTAAACTCGAAAGAAATATCTAGTAACTCTATTTGGCAAAGCGAATACTGCGACACTTGTCCAAGTAAACCCAGAATGCACATGAGAGATTGTTACCAAAAATATCGCACCATGGTGAATTACAAAATTTAAAATTTATCTTTTATTTACAATAGGAAAATGTATATTTATAAAATAAATAAAATCAAATGCATTCACAAGGACGTGTAATCTTTTCCGCTCGAAATAAGACTTCCTTTATCTCAGACACTCCGTCCCAAAAATGTGCCGGAGTTGCTGGTAGGCAGTACTCGAGAAACGCGCGGAGCGCTAAGGGTTAATAGTTGATAGTTACACGTGACTGCCACAACATTATAATTGAAATGGAATGTTTCTAACTCCGGGTCCAAACGGACCCGGCGCTCGTCATCCATGGGTTAATTATGATCGTACTTACGGCTGCGCCGGAAATCGCGTGCTCCAGGGTCTCGTAGGTGAACAGACCGCCATTCCGTCCACCCCCTCCCATTTTGCCCTGATCAGTGCGAACCGGAAACGCAGAATGTTTGCTCGATCGGGTAATCAGTCGGCGTTCATGTCACGCCGATATTGATAAACGTTTCTTTTTTTATCTGTAAACATCACGTGTTCGACGATTAGTGAGGTGACACGGTATAATATCGTTATTAGCAATTAAACCTTGGACCCGATCAAGGTCGCGTCGCAGCTCCCCGTTGTATCGACGTTTACTTCATATTCTCACTGATTTTTATTGACAGAAATTTATTAGCTATATTTATAATATAAATAAAATCGAATGCATTCGCAAGGACTTGTAATTTTTTCCGCTCGAAATAAGACATCCTTTATCTCGGGCGCTCCGCTCCAAAAATGTGCCGGAGTTAATGGTAGGCAGTACTCGAGAAACGCGCGGAGCGCTAAGGGTTGAAGTTAAAATGGACGCGATGCCGTTGCATTCGTAACTATCGGCCACGTAAATGTTTGATGGCGCGCAACGCCCAGCGGCGTTCATCAATTTTTCGCGGAACGGAAATCCACTTTCGCGGTTTCAAACAAGCAGAAGCTTATACTTCGGATAATATCGCCGGATCGGCGAATTATTTACCGCGGCCCCGCTCTCTCTTTTGATTTACCGGGCTCTCTCTCTCTCTCTCTCTCTCTCTCTCCTCTTCTGCCAAGAGGAATGCCGCGCGCTCGCCGCTCGACCGCGAACATTTCAGAGGAGAACGTTTGATCTCGTTCGAACAGAAATCAACAAGACGGTGGCTGGAATTGCGGAGACGGTGGAGAAATTTCGAACGAGTTACAGCATACTGCAAAGTTGTAAAACTTAGGTCTTTTTTCTAGTGCTTGTGGTAAGCTCGTCCGGCTTTTAGGATCTTTGTCAGACAGTCTTAGACACTCTTTGGTGCACGGTGGGTCCCACTCTGTAACAACAAATTAAATTGGATTGTTATTAATTTTTTATGTTTTTATATTAGATATTATAAAATATATAAAATGTAATAAATATAATAAAAAACATAAAATATAATAAATATAAAATATAATATATAATATAATAAAATGTATAAAATATAATAAATTTAATAAAATATAATGTGTGTGTGTGTGTGTGTGTGTGTGTGTGTGTGTGTGTGTGTGTGTGTGTGTGTGTGTGAATATAATAAAATATATATTATAAAATATTTTATATTTTATATTACGAGATTTCTTCGTTAATAAAAATATAGCAATCTTGTTTCATTTAAAACGCAATGAAATTTCTCTTGCAATATGTATAATTGTAATATTCTGTGCAACATTCTGTGCCCCGAAGAGTTAATGGACTGCGGATTTTATGCGTTTCATGCGAAATTGAATGAATTCGATTTAAAATGGTACAAGCATTAAGAGAATTTGCAAATATCAATATATCATCCTGAATCTTTTAAATCGACTAAGTAAGAAATGAACTTGCTAACTAGTTTCTATTTCTTTCAATCGATGCAGACGATTTTTATTTTGCACAAAAATCTGCATAGTCGTTAATCACAGTCCGTTCACAATCGTACTATAAAGAGCAATTTTTAGCTCTGCGGTTGCACTTTTATTCTTCTCGATCCCCATAAATCTTATGACAGAATTGATTTATCTTTTAAAACGAATAAGAAATGAACTTGCTAATTAGCTTCTATTTCTTTCAATCGATGCAGACAATTCTTATTTTGCACAGAAATCTGTATAGTCGTTAATCACAGTCCGTTCGTAATCGTACTATAAAGAGCAGTTTTTAGCTCTGCGGTTACACTTCTATTTTTCTTGATCTCCATAAATCTTATCACAGAATTAATTTGTAGATGACAGTGTTCAAAAATATACCTCTTAAGTAGGTGACGTTAATAATTATCACATTGTGCACTGTTCAAAAAATGTCCCGTACAATGGTTATATTGCAATATCGCAATTTTCCAGTCATTTCTGATGCTTTTACAAAAAAATGTTTGGGACAAAAATTAATCAGTACTCGGTCCTCTATAAACGTCAATATAAACAATTAAAATAAAATTATTTTTTAAATAAAAAATTAAAGTCACCCTGACATTTTAATCGTTATTATATCTTTCTTACTTAATAAAGTGATAGCTGACGTCGAGACGAATTCAACGACCTATATAAAACCGTCTTCGCGTCTTAGAACATTGCTGAAATCGTCGTGAACAGCTAAATTCATCGATTGGGACCACTATGCGTCGGTCCGTCGAGCATCCCGAATCTCTCTCAGACCGTATCAGCTAAGCAGGTTCCACTCGATATCGCGCCGGGTAGATTAATTCGAAGCTATCCGGGTAGAATCGTTCAAGACATGCACGGTTGACGTGGCAGCCGAAGTGTTAACGCCGGAGACGTCCCCGGGGAAATTCGCGCGAGTGGACTTAACGGAATAAAAATAAACCGTTTGTTACAGCTGGAGGCGTGCGGCCGTATTCTGTGCTGCGTGCAGAGGCTCTGCAAGAGCGGAAGTACAGTCGAAGAGGCCGAGAATCGGATCCCCCGGGGTCGAAGGGGCGCACAGGCGGGCCCCGAGCTGGAGGGGCCCTCAGGCTCGGAGGATGGCATCCTCCCGGTACCAGTCAGCCCGACTCCTGCGTCCACCTCATCGCAGGAGGACGCCTGCAAGCCACCGCCGAGGAACTGCTATCGCCTCGTCATGCTTGGCAGCGCGAGGGTCGGCAAAACCGCCATTGTAGCACGGTGAGCCTTGAGCCGAAAACACCTTCGTCGATCGCAATAAATCATATAAAATAGCAACACCGTAGATCAGAAGATATGTTTAAAATGTAATTAAAATAGCTTCGAGTGCAAAGGATTAACCCTTTCGCTCCGATGGGCGTATATATACGCCCTCGAAGAATGACCATTCATATACGAAGAGCGTATACACAGGGTGTCCCAAAATTGTCTCGCAATCCGAGAGTGACGGGTTCCTGAGGTCATTTGAAGCAACTTTTTCCTTAGCGAAAATGCGATCCGCGGCTTCGTTTACGAGTTATTAACGAAAAACAATGACCAATCAGAGGCGAGATCATTTGGCACGAGACGGCCGAGCCAATGAGCGGAACTGGGCTCCGCGCACTCGTTGGCTGGGCCGCCGCGCGCCAGCCGAGCTCGCATCTTATTGGTCAGTGTTTTTCGTTAATAACTCGTAAATGAAGCCTCGGAGAAAATTTTCGCAAAGGAAAACGTTGCTTCAAATAACCTCAGGAACCCGCCACTTTCGGATTGCGAGACATTTTTGGGACACCCTGTATATACGCTCTAGAAAAGTGGGCACGCGGGTAGTTGAGTTGAGTTGAATTCAATCTCATTGATTTGATTTGAATTGAATTGAATTGAATTGAATTGAATTGAATTGAATTGAATTGAATTGAATTGAATTGGATTGAATTGAATGTGATCGGATTGAATTGAATTGAGTTGAGTATAGTTGAGTTGAGTTGAGTTGAGTTGAGTTGAGTTGAATTGAATTGAATTGAGTTTATTTATTCCATGGGCGTATATATACACCCTCGAAGAATGACCATTCATATACGAAGAGTGTATATGTATATACGTTCATACCATATATACTTTTATTTCATACTTTACATGCGATACTTTTGTTAATCGAGTATATTGTGTTTTACATTATTGTGTTTCGATATTGTGTTTTATTCTAACAATACACAGTTTCAGACTTCTTTAGAACATTGCCAGCGACGTATATATACCAGCAATTTATAATAGTAGTGATTAAAAGGTTTACACGAATTTATAATTCTAAAATAATTTTGTTGGCTTAATTTTAATCATTCACAGGTAAATACTCAATTTCTGCCTTTGTGATAATATGTTGAGTTTTAAAGTATTTAATTTCTTTTAGACCCATTTTCAAATCACGGGGAAAAGGAAATTTAGGAGAATATTTTTCACGAGCGACAGTGAAAGTACTGAAAGTGAAAATACCGATACTGAAAGCGTTCGCCATGCAAGACAAACAGTAACGTGCTCAAGATCACAAAAATCTGAATATATTTGGACTACGGAAAATTTGGAACCAGAAATACATTCCGTACTTCAGTGCCAAAACTACTCAATAATACGCTCCGTTTACAGCGATCTCATTTTGACGCAAGCACTCCGTAGCGAAAGGGTTAATGGTACATTTCTGTATTCTTCTCTAGTGGTGCAAACAAAGGGATTGCAGAAAGAATAATAAGCGAAGGGGGGCGGGCAGAGACCTAACTTAAAATAGAATTTGGAAGATTTTTAATATTCATTTTATTTTTAATATTCAGATTTTTAATATTCAGCCATTTTCGTTTTATAGAATAACCTGTATTCGATTTGACACTTGGAAAATGGTGAGATTGAATTTTACAATAGATTTTAGAGATTTTTAATATTTTTATTTCACGCGGCGATTGAGACTTAAAACAGAATTTGGAAAAATATTTTGAGACCTATTGGTGACGTGAATTATTAATTACTGATCTGCGGAGACCGGATTTTTAATATTCAGCCATTTTCGTTTTATAGAATATCCTGTGTTCGATTTGGCACTTGGCAAATGGTGAAAATGAATTTTACAATTGATTTTAGAAAGTTTTAATATTCTTTCAGAAAGGATAATAAGCGAAGGGAGGGCGGGCAGAGGCTTTTTTCACATAAAAAGGCATCCATTGTTATTATTATAGAATGGAAAATAGCTCTCGTCGCTCTCGTCGTTTTTTGAATTATAATATTTCTATTGTTATCGTAGAACTGGCATTGTCGATAACACACGAGTAGAATTCTGCGTGCAGACAACCGCATACGCGACTCGTGTCAGCAGCAAGATTAATCTTGAAACGGGGGGTCTTCGGTTATGTATCTGTTAATGAATTCATGGTGAACGTGAATGATGAAAGCTGCAGCGTTTACACGGTTTCACTGGTCGAATACGTGTCTCCATTGTCAATGACATCCGGGCACCGGTTGAATTCATTTCCGGCGACGGTCGAGCCAATCTCCCGCGGACGTTTGCTTGTTCGTCGGACACGTTTAGACGTGTCGCTGTCGCGTCACCGCGGATGAATCGTCCACGAATGCGTAATTTCCTTCGCGAAATGTTTACGGAACGTGCCACGAAAAGTGTAAACATATACACGCGACGCGAACTTACGAGACGACCGTAACGTAATACATTATACGGAAGCGTGGATATTTCACTGCCCAGTATGTACATTATATTCATCGATTCCGACGCAATTATGAACAAATAAATAATAATATGTAACATCCGGAAGGATTTTCTTGCGTGTTCGCAAATGAAAGAATAATTGCGCATGACAGAATTAGGAAGTACGGTAATGTCTCCCTAACCGACGCTCAGCTTCTACATAAAAATGGACAATTTGGGAAGCGGAGATACGATTATTCGAGCCTTGCAGCTCTTTTTTAAAATTGTTGACTATAACTATAAAAATGTTTTGTAATCCGGAAATGGCGGGTTCCTCAGATCATTTGAAGCAACTTCTTCCTTTACAAAATTTTTCTCCGAAGCACCGCTAACGAGTTATTAACGAAAAACAGTGACCAATAAGAATCGAGTACGGCTGACGCGAGGCGGCCCAGCCAACCAGCGCCCGAAGCCCAGTTCCGCTCATTGGCTCGGTTGCCTCGCGCCATCTGAGCTCGCCTCTCATTGGTCACTGTTTTTCGTTAATAACTCGCTAATGGTGCCTCGGAGAAAATTTTTGTAAAGGAAAAAGTTGCTTCAAATGACCTGAGGAACCCGCCACTTTCGAATTGCGAGACATTTTTGAGACATCCTGTATATTATTAGGTCTACCGGAATGTTCTGTCCGTTTAAGGAATGAAAGGAAATAATAGATTTTTCATAAATTTAGTAATATATCTATTGTACAATATAATTTCCGTCGTTACTTATGACCTCTTGCCAGCGTGATAGCGATTTATGAGCAACATTTTTCAAAAATATATATAAATTTGCAATGACATTATCAGACAGAACTTTCCAGTAGACCTAATATATGTATAACTATATAACGTAACTATTGGGTTGGCAACTAAGTAATTGCCGATTTGTTCAATGAAATGAAAAATTCTTTTTTACTTGGAATGATGTTTAATCTGTAATGTATTTTCCATTTTGTTCGATGACCTTTTGCCATCTCTCTGACAACTTGAAAATTCCACGCTCGTAGAAAGTCTGATCCTTTTCGGCCAAAAACTGAGTTAAGTGAGATTTTACAGCGTCGTCATCATTAAAAGTTTTACCACGAAGGGAGTTGTCCAGGGATCGAAATAAGTGGTAATCCGATGGCGCGAGATCAGGGCTATATGGTGGGTGTAACATCAATTCCCAACCAATATCCATCAATTTTTTGCCGAGTGGACAAAGACGTGTGCGGCCTAGCATTGTCCTCGTGGAAAATGGCACCTTTACGATTGACCAATTCTGGTCGCTTTTCCTTGACCGCTGCATTCAATTTGTCCAGTTACTAATATTCGCGGATAATAAAAACTAACATAATAATAATAATAATAATTTTACAATATAACATTTACGGATATCATAAAAATGGGAGTGAGAGACATCTATAACTGAAATCGGCCATTACTTAGTTGCCAACCCAATATAAAACCGAACCGCAAGGCTCGAATAATCGTATCTCCTCTCCCGAAATTGTCCATTTTCGTGGACAAGCTGCGAGAGACAATCGAAGAAAATTTACCGTATTCGGTTTCTGCTATCTTGGACGATCGCCGTGTTTGCGAACGTTTTGATTATGAATTATTCGAGAGATTCGTGAGCCGAATAAAGGATACACGGGTTCGTTCTGTCTATAGACGGCGGGAGAGTTCCCGTAAATATTTCCTTTGTACGTCCCCGGCTCTGTGTACACAGCCGGTAAGCACGAAGGGTCGAAGTAGACTTAGGGCAGCGCAGAATCGGCATCACCCGGCACCCAAGGGAAAAGTCGGAAGAAAAATGCGGACCTGTTCTACCGGTGGCCAGCGCATTCTAAACGGGGGACCCATTGTTTCCCGGCTGCCATTGTAGCCGGTGCACAAAGTTCGAACCAGAGACGTGTATCGCACTTGCGAGCCAGCTTGAGGTCCGCGGAGTTCTCGCGAAAGTAACGAATTTATCTTGGAATCCGATTAAAAATCAACAGATTTTCAGTTTCGAACTCGCTGTTTCACTCAATTTACTCCGTGAACCCGCTCGGATGACCTACTTGTTTAGTCCTCGCGCGGCCGGGCTGAACGTTCATCCATTTTCTATTTCTGGACACGGCTGAAATAATTTGAAATGTTCGCGTGAAACATAACAGAATAAAACAGTACCGTAGCGTGTATTTATAGTATCGTCCATTAAATATAATTCCGTATTTGCGAGAAAGAGAGAGAGACAGAGAGAGAGAGAGAGAGAGAGAGAGAGAGAGAATTCTTTTTGATATTAATTAACAGAAAACGCCCGTTCGCGTCGCACAGTATTTTTTATTTGCTGATGTATATCTGCAAATTTCGATCCTGTTCGATCGAAAATTTCACTTTTAAAAGCTTCGAAAATCTGAGAACGATTTTAACAAATTTGTACGAGGGAAAAGAGCGAAGAAAAATGTTCAGAGAGATAGAATAACGTTTCGAAAGAGCAATTAACGAGTACTGAAAAAAAAGGAAAAAGTGACACAAAGTTGCAATTA